CTGCTGTATGTATGTTTGTTTCAGGACGCCAGGCGCTGCGTTTCCAGGAGGACTTGGTATCATGTGCAGTTGCTGAGCTCTGCATGGGCCTCTCTTTGATGACAACAGAGGCTCGAGGGCTGCAAGGAGAGTCTTATGAGGCTGATGTTCTCTACTATGTATTTCTGTGCATACAAAAAGTAGGTTCACTAAGACTACGCACACTGTTAATTCAATGTCTGTTCCATTTCTCTCTGTATTTGGTTGTGATGTGGAAACACTGACTGCATTTTTTCTTTGTCTGTTTTCTTTCCTGCAGTATCTCTTTGATAACGGTCGTGTGGATGACATTTTCTCAGATCAGTACTATGCTCGCTTTGCTCAGAGTCTGCACAACATCCTGGAGCCTTGGAGACCATCCGTTCATCTGCTCGGTGAGAACAAACGTTTATCATATTGTAGTTTATCATACCATGTGGATTACTGATACACATTCCTCTAAAATAAATTTGATATTTTGTCAACTAATTTTGTCTTGTTTACAGTGTATAATAGTCAGTACATAAACCTACCATGTTAGGGATGTCATCAATATAAATATTTACCCAGGTCTCCTCTATATACTGTAGCCCAGCATACGAATTGACTGGAATGGTTTCTGTTTTGTGCAGTAGCCCATGGTGCTTTTATAATATTGAGGAAAGACTGTAATAATAAACTTCAGGTCAAATAATTCCCTTTGCTTTTAAAGAACACTAACTGTGTGGTTGTAAGAGCACAGTTCCTCTTTGTGTGGCCCCTAATATGAGACACTAACTGTCCACTAAATATATTACTCCCTCCCAACTGAAACAGTACTATTAAGAACATGTAGGGATGGGTCACAAGGTCCTGTCAATCAATACTCTTTAAACATGTTTTATTATATTTTCTGCAATATCAGTGGGCTGCTCGTATATGAACAGCACATTGTTTACATTGAATAAGCCTGAGAATGAACCTGCTCCCGAGTAAGATTGAGATTATGGACATGTTGCCATGACAACAAGTCTTACACCTCGTAGAACCAGTAGAACTGGGACCATGTGAAATTATCAACAAAATTTTCCAATGAAGAATACCCCCCTGTATAGATTGCCACAGTGTAATCACATGTTGTGATAGCAGTTGTCATTGATTAAACAATTGTTTCCTTGTAATTATTAACTTGTGCATTGTTACCCCAGTGTTGTAAACTGCCAGGTTTTGGTAATCTAGTCTTTGCCTTCCTTTCCAGGTTATGTTATCCCCAGCCATGTGACAGAGGAGATGCTGTGGGAATGTAAACAGCTGGGAGCTCATTCACCTTCAACACTGCTCACAACTTTGATGTTCTTCAACACAAAGTGAGTTGCACCATGCTCGCACATATAGGGTTTACCTCAGTTGTCACACAAATATTTCATGCGACTATGGTTTTGTCTTTAAAAACAAAAAGCCAATGTTTTCCCTTGCTTTTACTGGTACTGCCCACGGATACATGGACAGCGCTTACAAATGAATCGTATGTGACAGTCACCTGCCATTATATAAGCAAATGGAAAATACAGAACACTGTTCTTCAGACTAAAATAATTCCAAAGCAGAATACTGCTGAAAACCTGGTGAATGTGCTTTCTATTGCCGCAGAACACTGGGGACTTACTGGTAAAGTCACAGCATGCATACATGACAGTGTTAGCAATATGGAGCTAGCCAACATGGAGCAGGACTTTCAGCAATGCAGGTGGAGGTGGGGGTGTCAGTGATCCTCAAATAGTGCCCAGCGAATATCATATAGCATTTTAGCTTGAAATGCCATCCCTATTACGTATATTTAATTTTATTTTTTTATTTTTTTTTTTTTAACAGGTATTTCCACCTGAAAACAGTGGATCAGCATTTAAAAGTGGCCTTTTCTAAGGTGCTTAGACACACCAGAAAGAGTCCCAACAACCCCAAAGACAAGAGCACCAGCATCCGATACCTAAAGTCAACTGAAAGGTTCATAGGACAGAAAGGTAAAAGTGTGCATATGGTTCTGATTTGAGCTGTGATATCTGAGAGGAAACCTCATTTTAAGGATAATAAATTACTTTTGTACTATATGGAATTTTTTTTGTCTGTTTAGTGACAGATGACATGTACTCGGAGCAGCTGGAGGACCCAGAGAACCCTCTGCGATGCCCTATCAAACTCTACGATTTCTACCTCTTCAAATGGTAAATGTCAGATTATAGCAAGGATGGTGAACAATTTCAGTGAAAGGGAAAATACTTATTTCTACTCCCATGTAGTACTTTTCACTCTGGCCAGGATATAACAAGTGTCAGAGCTTCTCTGTGGAGGTGCTGCTGCTAAGAATAAAGGCAGCTAACTCCTTTGGCCTTTGCCATCTTTAAAAAAATGCTAGTATCCTTCTCGACTGGTGGATATTGTGAGTTATTCATATAAATTCACTACACTCAGTGCTGCATTTAAAACATTTTGGTTACTCTCAGTTATTGTTTTGGTCTTTCATGTTAACATATTACACAGCAACCTAAATGTTCAGATTTCAGGATATGGCAACATCAGGTGGTGTATGTTGCTACTTTATTAGGTACAACTGTACAGCAGTTCTGTCAAATAGTCTGTATGAAGGTCACAACCCGAAGATGTCTTCACACTGTGTTCTCTCTGTGTCTGTGTCAGTCCACAGAGTGCTAAAGGTCGCAACGATACCTTCTACCTGACACCTGAACCCGTGGTGGCTCCCAACAGTCCTATCTGGTACTCAACTCAGCCAATCCCAAAGGAACAGCTGGAGCAGATGCTCGCGCGCATCCTCGTTGTCCGTGAAATCCAGGAAGCCATTAACATGTCAGAGAGCGTGCACTAGTGTGACTGGAGGATAACGATAAACGGACTAGACTCTTTTGCTTCACCCAGCCTTTGATTGCTCATTATCAGTAGTCTTCTATTCTCTCACACCCTGTTGTGATCCTTAAGGGTGGCATGTATATGTTTATATTCATGTGTCAGCATATCTTACACACATACTGTACATAACAAACAACCAATACAGATAATTTGTCTTATTGAGTCGCCTTTTTCCCCTTTGTTTTGGCCAAAGGATGTCATGTCTCTTACTATTGAACCTGAACTCTAATTTAAATGTTATTTTAACTGTTGGTTCCCATTAGACAATTGTTAATTTTCTCTCCCAGTTTGTTTTATTTTGTAATATACTTCATATATATTTTAAGTCTCAATTGAATACCTCAGTGGTATTAAATGTGCATTAAACCAAACAAAGGTTAAATGCTCATTTTCGGCTTGTGTGAATTCTCCCTCTTTCTGTTTCACTGTTGTCCGTGCTGAACTGTGTCCACATGCGGACACAGGGCTGTGGGATTCCTTGTTGGCTCAGCTCAGTAACTCAGAATCACATCAGGACTATGTTGTGGATTTGATTGCAATATAGTGCTACCACTCAACCTGCAACTACTAGCACTTGCCACATAGTGGAGACATGGCAGGTGAAGGATGCTGTCTGCCGCTGGATCCCTCTTTCTCTCCTCCAATCCCAAAACACCTGAAGTGGGATCTGTTGTATCATACATGTTTATTATGTAACAGATGAAAGACTCTTAAGAAGCGGCTTAGCCCTTAATGTGCTATCATGTGTAATATTCGTAGCTCCTTCATGTACTGTAACGGGTTTCAGTCATTTAAGGAGAATGGCAGTGCCTGTGTTTTTGAAACATGATCTTTTTTGTACAGCCGCTGCACCATGTGTCTGCCTTTCTAGCAAGTCCAGTATCAGTTCTGCACATGCATCCTTATGTAATGATAGTCTGCATTGTGTGATATGAAACGATGCACAGTGATTTTTCCAAATAAAAGTCTTCTCACATCACTATCAGTAATGGAGGAAAACAGACTTTAAAAAACAAACAATGGCATTTTGAGTAAACCGAAAAGTTTTTGTCAAAGTTGACCTGATTCTTGTGCGTGTGTGCACCATTAGTCTATGTGCATACATAAGTAGCCTAATTATTCTCATGCACCTCATGGTAGGTAGTTCATGTTAGAGCAACAGGTTTGACCAGAATAGCAGGTGATTTCCTGGTAACTACAAACTGCTGCCTTTGTGGTTTCTTCCTCTGTGTGCATGTTGTCAGTTCAGTTTCCACCCACAGGGCCTGTTGTCCTACAGCATACACAGCATTATTTCTGCAGTCTTTATCCTCCTGTCTCAGGTGCTGTTTTGAGGCCATTTCCTCTGTTTGTTTTTATACCCAGTCTTTGTCATGCATGTGTCTTTGTGTTATCAGCCTAACGGTATGCAGGTTCAGGAGGAATATGATCCTAGATTAAATGATGATGAGGGCCGTAATCTTCTCAGTAGGCTCCCAGGGTGTAAAATCTGCTATATTGTGCTCTGTGGTGGGACTGGTGGAGGTTTCAGTTTGTGACGGCGATGTCTCCTTCTTGCTCGGCTTCCTTGTCTTGAGGAGCTGTGAGGTTGGTCCTTAATGTTGTGGTTTATGGTCGTACTAGCTGCCTGCATCTGTGGACTGCTGGGAAAGAGAAGACACCTAATTAAAATGTTATAAATTTCAGTGACTAATCATACCATACCCCAATTGAAATTGAATTTGGTGTTTGTATGCTCACTGGTAGATTATTTCTGTGTTCTCACCTTACTAAGACTTCATCTGTTCTTTCACTGAGCCATTCTAGCAGACACCTATGTATGAATATGTACTGCTCCTGAGTGCATACAAAGAAACAGGCAGTTAATGAGGATGCTGGGGCCAAAATGTGTATAAGCCACTTAATTGAACATTACGCACTGTATGTTTATTTTTAAATAAGTTCTGACACCGAGCAGTGGTGGGAAAATAATATTTTAATTGATTAATTTTCCTCAATTTAATACATGTACTACTCAGAAAATACTATAGCCCTATATATATATATCTATATCTATATATAGATATATATATACACACTGTGTGTGTGTGTGGTTTATTTCAAATGGAAATAATGTTCCTTTTTCAGAGCTCTCTCTGACAGGTAAAGCTAGTTTTCGAATTACAATCTTACATATAATAAGAAGCACTGTTAATAGATTAAACTGCCCAGTAGTGCAGTACATAAAGTAGTAATTATCTTTAACTTGACAACACTTGGAAAGCTGCCATTATATATGAAAAATACACTTACTTTTGATATTAAAGTATATTTTGCTGCTTTGTTTTTTAACTGTTTTAACTTTTTAACAGTTTTACTGGTAATGGAGTATATTTTTACTTTGTTTTTGCTACTTCTACCGAAGTAAAAAATCTCAATACATCTTCCACCACCATAGTATGCCCCACAGGACTGACCAGAGTCTGGACCATCCACATCCGATGTAGCCGTAGGTCCTCCACAGCGGCCCTGATATCAGGCCGGATGCCCCTCGCACACAGCTGCATCATCCACAACAGTGTGACAAATGTCCCTGACCGTCCAACGCCTGCACTGAAACTCATAAACAGAAAACTGACTTTAAACATGCTGTCTCATGCACCATCTGATTGATAACTCTCTGAAACATCTATAGGATGAATGGTTAAAGGGACACATTGTTAACATTAGCGAGTGATGGGTATGAGGTCACACCTGCAGTGCACCACTGTCGGTCCCAGGCGAGGAATGGCTTCTAAATGCTGCCGCACATGCTCAGTGAAGGCACACATAGAAGAGGTGTTAGGCACACCCCGGTCTGGCCAGCAAGGGTAGTAGTAGTGTGTGATTATACGGTCTGTTGGAAAGTCTCTCTGAAACAAAAACACTTCTTTTTAAGCCAACCACAAACACTTCTTTGATTACTGGTACAGTCAGTGCAGACAATTTAAAGGAACTCACCTGGCTGAGGTTTATTGTGGTAATAAAATAATCTGGACCTTGTTTGCGGGTCATTGTCGTCACTCGGATTAGTCCATGATAAACTGTCCCTGGTTCCAGAGGCCAATACATATCACACAATACCTGTACACATAAAAATAAGGAACAGTTATTTGGAACTGTAAGGTTTTAGGTAGGTGTTAAAGGAATAGTTTTGACATTGGGGACATTTTTATTATTGATTAATCTCTTTATTGTCAAGAGTTAAATGAGGTGTTTGATACCACTCTCACATCTATACTGTAAATATGAAGCAGCTGGTTAGCTTAGTATAGAACAATAACTAGAAACAATGGGAAACAACTAGCATGGCTTTGTTCAAAGATAAGATCAGCTTTCCACCACCCCTGAAGCTAACTAATATACAGTATATCTTGCTTGTTCAATCAATACAAAAATGGAAGTTTAAAAAACATTTTTAAAGTTATGTTTTATTGGAGTTGTGCCATTTCATTTCTTGTCCAGGTGCATTGACTTCCTAGAGTCTCTGCTTGTTGCTTGGCAACCACTGAGCAATGACAAGGTCTGACAAAGAAGAAAAAAAAAACACAGGGAATAGGAAATATTCACTAGTCAGGTACCATCCATCCATCCTAGCTTCCTCCCTCTGCGCATTCTGTGGCTCTATGAAAACATCACCCGACTTCCTCTGATGCTCCAGATGGACAGGAGTCATAATTCCTAACAGCTTTGTCTTGGGCATAATGTCATTTTAGGGTATTTGCTGACTAGGATCACCGTCTCAAACCAGGCTAGCTGTTTGCCATCTAGTCACTGTGCTAAGCTAAGATAACCATCTCCTCATTCTTCGTATCTTGTGCAGAAACATAAGAGTGTATCAATCTTCTTATCTAATTCTTGGCACAGGAAGTGAATCTATGTATTTCACAAAGAACTAGAACTGCTTCTCTAGAAAGGGAAATTATTTTGTTGGAAGGGTTAGGGGTAAATACAAAGTAGCACATGCAGACACACACATCACAGACACAGGCTGAATTTATCTTTCTTACTGTGTCCTTGTGTCTCAGAGCTGTCACCATGATGATTATCCTGACGTTTTGCTCCCACACCATCCTCCAGAAGTCAGCCATGGTGTTGTGCAAAGGACCCTGGGTGCAGATAAAATCTCTTTCTGATCCTCCACCCTTAATTCAGACACACAGTCATTAACAAATGCAGACATATATAAAGACAGACAAAAATAACTAAATTAATTTGGTTGAGGAAGTGAATGAATTCTTACAGGCACAAAATTTGCATTGATGTAGTCACTGTGTGGATCGGAGTTTTGAACAGACAGCTTCACCCGACAGTGGTCATCTAACATCAGAAAACAGAAAGCAGGCACAAGTTTTGTACACTGCTAAATTTGCATGTTGTAAATTGAACTAGTAGCAGCTTTGCACTTACATGGCAAGATGTAAGGGTATCTGTTCTTTTCTCGGTTGGTCACTAAGTCCCCTGCTTTGCTGGGGAGGTGTTTGCCAACTTCCTCCAGCTCCTTCACAGAGCCAAAGACATTAGCACACATGACAGTCATTCCTAGCTTCACAAATCATAAATCTAATGTAAGTTCAATTTCTAAACATACTAGTTACCTCAAACTCCTGCTTAAAGCCTTTGTTGTCATTGGCAGTCAGTGACTGGCATCGAAAACGAAACTCCTGTAGGATTTCCGTTCTTGAGAGAGTTTGCACGCTGTAAAATATTTAGACAATATTGTTAAGTCTGGTGATGATATCCCATATTAACAAACAAAAAGACCAAAACCAACAATGAATGGATCCTAATAACTATTCACTGTGTAGTCAAAAGTTGATGAGGCGTACTCCTCTGTTCCATAAAGCTCTATCATTGTCCACAAACTAAAAAAAACAAACACTTTGAGATGTTCCTTTATTACAATAAACATGAGCACTGAACCAGAAGCGCACCATATTATCAGCTGGAAATAGTCTCTAGCAAATGCACTCTTTACTCACATTTGAATAACATTTGCTAAATGTCGCAGTACCCTGATGTTTAAGGATGTTATTCAGGCTTTTTTATAAATGAAAATACATTTGTTAAATGTTTTTAAAGATTTACATTTTCAATAATGGGCTTATCAGAGCCATATCCTTTTAGCATATTTCAGGATGATGCAAGGAATTTGTCACCCTTACCTCATGTTTTTTCTTGCTGTCAGCTGTGTACTTTAAACAGAAAACCCAGCTAGAAGGATGTCAGTGTTGAACCTTTGAAAAAAAAGACCAAATCCCATCTCATACATTACATTTGCATTACTTAATGGAGAAGTGATAAAGTAAACTGAAATTGAAAAGCTGAGAACATCTGTCTACTTGTTCTTTTCTCCTTTGCTTAGTAGTTCTAAGTGAATTTTACCAATTCTACAAGGGGGGGAGTGACACTGGAAAAATACTTAAAACAGTTGTCCTATGTTGGGAATGATGTTAAAAGCTTGCACAAACTTGTCTGCTTTAGTATATGCCCTGAAGCAGTTGAGTTAACCGGTTTTACTGTATCAAACTGAGAAAAGAATACAGTGCAGTCTAATGGGGTGGCTGGCTGTGGCTCATGAGGTAGGGCAGTCATCTCCTGACCAGCAAGTTGGTGGTTCGACTCCCAGTCTCCCCGCATGCCTAAGTGTCCCTGAACAAGACACTGAACCCCGAATTGCTCCCGGTGGCTTGACTCGCACCGGTGCGTGGCAGCCTGTCGTCATCGGTGTTGTGTGTGAATGGTGTATGATCTTCTGTAAAGCGTTTTGGCCAGTCCAACACACTGTGAGAAAGCGCTATATAAAATACAGTCCATTTACCATGATATCTCTTATTATATAATAATTAGTAATATATAATTCTAGTAGCCAGGCATAACAGACACAGCCCAGCTTTCTCACATTTCATTTAGTGATCCTGACCTGACAACGAAGAAAACCTGGTCCAACATGTTCTCAGTCTCAAACACAAACAACAGAAGGACAAAACTGAGTTCCAACAGTAGTTTGTGTTTTGTTCAGGATTACCTTTCCAAAGAGGCCTCCGATGAATGGTTCCAGTCTGATGAAGGCTGAGGATGAAAAGAAGAAAATTCCACTGCTTCAAATCATCTTAAAGTTGGGTGGTTTTGTGTGTCTCTTCAAACAGGAAGTAGTGTTGGGTGGAGACGGTGGGTGGAGAAAAGAACACTTATCTCCAGGGAGGGATGTCAGTATATGGTGGCCACAGGTGTGGTTTGTACTCACTCTGCTGTTCCTTATTTAATTCTAGGAAATCTTTTCCATCTTCTCAGATTCTGTTTCTCTGTTTTGATACTCGGGTTATATCTGAGAGACAATGTAGGCTGTGTTAGATTGGAGTTCATGATGTTGTAGTCTAACTTACTGCTAGAGTTAACGTACCATAACCAACACTGCACTGTCTAGTCTGACACATATTTGTGCTATTCCTTTGAAACACATGCAAACAAGTCACTGCATGATTAGGCATCCATATTAGCATAACAATAACTTACTGACAGGTACTAAAGGGGCTTAAACATGACATGGCTGCAAATCTCTGCATATTTATTAGCTTAGTTTAACAATAAGTTCATATCCCCCAACCCCCAACGCATTTGCTGTTATCCTAAATGATGATTAGAATCCAAATAACAATCACAGGTAGATAGATAGATAGATAGATAGATAGAGAGATAGATAGATAGATAGATAGATAGATAGATAGATAGATTTTTTACTGTTACATGTCTTTTATAACCTTAGTTACTTTTTAGACAGATTAATAAAACAAAATACCATATTATCATAAGACTTTATTAAACCGCTGTGGGAAATTGACAGTCGACCCAGCAGTATGTAAAGTACTTGAAATTATACAGAAAGTATAACATTAGCTCCCCCTTTACCAGCTGCAACAACAGTGATGAACACCCTAATTATAATTATATTTTAATAATATGGTAAATATGAATTTGAAATGTGCCATTTTACTTTTGGTACTGTACTTTTTTATGCTCACAGCATACTTTTGTACTTTTACCTAAGTACTGAATGTAAGACCTTTACTTGGGTATTTTTACACAGTAACAGTTTTACTTAAGTACATGATCTGAGTACTTCTTCACCGCTGCTTATTATATTTTTATTTGTTAAATTTCTGTTTTAAGAATTTGTGAGCTCATGTCCTCATAAATTATAATTCTGAAGTTTATATATTCTATAGGAGGATATCCTTGAAAAAACTGAATAATAATCAGTTTTATTTGACTATCATTTAATTCACAAGAGGCTGTATTATGACAGAATATGGGAGGCTGGCTAGGATTATATTACACAACGCAAGTCTAAATCATATTTTCCTTTAAATAGTCAACAGTCTATACTATGACATTATGTCTCATAACTCAGAATTAACATCTCCTAAAACAACACTTGGTTTTACGTTACAGCGCCATGTTCATTTTAGGCTTATATTAGTTTTTTTCATACAATCATACAATCAAAATTCTCCGCTCTACTTCCCTTTAAACTCGTCACTAACGCACGCGAGCTGTCCAACAAAGGGGTAGACAGGTGTATTTTTTTTTTCTTTGAGCCTTTCTGACCACTGGGTGGCTATAGGAAAAGGAAGTAAACACGCGTGGCGTCGTTTTGCTGCGCATTAAACAAAAAAAAAACTAAAACACCTGAGAAATGACGTGTTAGTGGGAGGTAAAAGGTCGAGCCTTTTAAACTGGTTGGCACGGTGCAGTCTGTGAAATATGAAGCCGTGAGCGAGGCAGAAATGTAAAGTTTCACTTTCTGTCTGTACCAACGACAATAATTTAAGAAGTCGTTAGCTTTTGGGGCTTTGTTGGACTCAACAGGATATAAAGCCTTTATTTCACGCTGGAAACCGGTAGGAATGGATCTTGCACGAACGCAGGACACACTACAAAGCAAGGTAAAACATTTTCTGGGACTGAAGAAGCAAAAACTGACAGCTGTCATGTGTGCACAGATAAAGTCTTAACCTCCCTCCCTTCCTTCACTAAATAGACCTTCAGTCATTAGACGCAGCTGAATCATTAACCAAAACCAGGACGGGGTCAGAACAGAAGTTATAATGAGCTCATAAATATTGTACAAATATAACTGCATTTAACTAATGGCACAGGAAATTTTGAAAGTTAAATATTAAGCAAATGAGGGCACAAATGAGTATATACCCATTTATTTTAATGCATTTTATTTCACTACCGTTCCACTGACGAGAGACTGCACAATGAAAAGTGTGGTGGTTGTGTCTCTGTTGCTATCTAGGAAGTGTGGGGTGAGGAAATGCCACTAGACATTAGTTATATTTCCTCGATTTCCAGTCCTTGTTCTAACAGTATATGTAAGGTTCCAGTGTGCAGTTTAAAAACCAAAAAAAATTTCAAACATTCCTGAGCAGTCTGCAGAAACAGTAGTTTATATCTATGGCTTACTATCAATTTTTATTATCAGTAAATCTGTTCATTATGTTTTTGCTAAATCAAAACCTCATTAGCTTTGTAAAATGCCAGAAAATAGTGAAAAATGCCTGTCAGCACTTCCCATAGCCCAAGTTGACATCTTCATATTGCTTATTTTGTGTGGCTAACAGCCAAAAACCTACAGATATTTGGTTCTTTATCACCAACGACAACATAACACAGCAAATCCTCAAGTTTGAGGAAGTGGAACTACAGAGAGTTTGGCATTTATGACCAGTACATGGTTAAGGTGGAGGTAATTTTTATTTTATGCTCTGTGTCGCCCAATGAGGTACATCCTGTTCCTCAAAATGATCTTTTTAGCCTGTACAGTTTTTCTGCTGTTTGTAAAAGGCCACAGTGTTTTGAATTCATTCCCTCCTGCCAATTCAGGATGAGAAGAGGCCGATCAGAAGAGTGCGAAGTCCTTCCAGACCGAGGGCGTGGAAGTCCAGTTCTTACAAATTGAAGTTTGGAGGGACATTCTACCGGCCTGGGTGAGACCGATGATTCAGAAACGGGGAGCACATGATTTGTTCTCATTCTATATAAAAGCCACATTATAATTTTTTGACTTCATTACCTACGAAGTATTGATGATAACACTGAAGCTTTTCTCCTCTGCTGATGATGCAGTTTCCCGAGGCATGACCATTCAGCCTACAAACCTGGCTATGGCAGCTCTAAGTACCACCACTTCATCCCCAAGACTTCCTTCCTCCAGAGAGATCAGCATCCTAAACTTCACCATGTCACGCTTAGGGAGAGGGAACGAGAGAATGAGAAGGAGCGGTATGAGCAGAAAGATAGCGCTGAGGGGAGCTCATCCCCCAAACAACACAACTGTAAGTTTATGTGCTCAGCAAAAGACTTTGAAAATAATGATAATGCACACTTCATCTCATTTACAGAGAGGTGTGCTGCTTCAAGACAAAATGTGCACCATGCAGCCAAAAGCACTTTTAGTTTGTCATTTTTTTTATGGTTTGGGTTTTTCTCTTTAGTTTGAGGTAAACAAAATCTTCAGCCTAAAGTAATATTTTAGACAATTGTGTACTTTCACCTTTGTGGCAGTTCTCTGAAAGAAGAAGACCCAGTTTCCTGGGAGAAAGAAGGAGTAAACATTTGAGCATTCTCATATTGTTTTGCATATGCCTGTAGGCACCAGTTGATGTTTGGACATAAAGTGCAGGAGGGCTTTCTGATTAATTGTTGGTTGCCATTTTGTGTTGTTAGGTAAGCTCTTTGAATGAAAGGATAAGGTCAGTCATTTTCTGTATTAACAGTATTTTCAACACTCCTCATACAGAGACCAAAACCAACAAAGAATTGTTTCTACTCACAGTTAATGTCTGTCAATCTGTCAGTCATGGATTAGTTTATTCACCTGTGCCACTGTTACTCAAAAGTGATTAAAAATCATAACAGTGAAACACATTGCTGCAGTGGGTGACATGTTTCCTCATTAGAAAACACAAGACCCTCATATTTTATTAAAATGTTGCCCCAAAGGCTCCAAATGACTGTAACGTTTCACAGCATCTGCGATAAGCAAATTATATTCTCAACAAATATCAGGGTCCTGTGTTTTGTAATTAGGAAATATGTTGCCCAGTGCAGCAATGTGTTCTTAATAGTTTTTGGACAATAACAGAGGTCTATGCCACAGAGAAATCAGCTAATCCAGGACTGACATATTGACAGATATAATCGTGAGTTTGGTTTTGGTCACTGTACAGGAAGTGTTGAAAATACTGTTAATATAGACAGTGATTGACCATTTTGCTTGTACTGCAGTAGTTGATTACTTAGTGTAGCAGGTGACAGCAGTATTATTGCATACAGATCAGAATCTTTCAGTAGAACCTACAGTTTTAATTAATTTGTTTATATGGACAGATGATAAATCCAATTTTAATTTGCACATTATTAAATGTAATAATGGAGAAAAGGGTTAATTGCAGGCGGCAACTATTGGTATACATTGGTGAGCGTAGCTGTAGGTACATCAAACAGGTACTGCTAAGCAAAGCAAAAGTAATCCTGAAAGTTTCTAAGATTGCTTTCATTAAAGATGTTAAAGACTGGATCTGCCACTGTTTATTTGTATCTATTTGTCTCTAAATGTGGGTGAGTCTAAATGTCACAATAGACCTATGTGCAATAATTGGTCCGAAGGTAGGCAAACAAAAGTGGCAAAAGTAACAAGGGTTAAAAATACCACTGAACTGAATATTTTCAAGGGGGCATGGTGATACTGTTCTTTTATTCAAGTCTAGTTATGGTGCAGTCACCTTTTTATCAAGCCCTTTTAACAGGGGCCAGAGCATAAAGGAAAGAGAACACATTTCAAGGACAAACATTTTCTGTAACTTTTATCTTTTGTTATGCAGATTAGGAACAGGCACACTTGTTTCGGGTGATAATGTTCATCTGTGCAGACTCACAGACAGGCACTGACAGCAATGTTAAAACTACTGCAATTATATAAGAATAATATAAGAGTATTAAAAGCTAACAGTTTCTCCAGAGCTGGAGGACCAAAGAGACTGCTGACAAAACTATAATAAGCTCTGTGCACACACTATATTCTTTCACTTTACCTTAGGCACACAGCTATCAGAAGTAGCACATTTCACATAAAAAAAGAAAATGCATCCTACAAAAGCAACTTCAGTTACACATCAAAGAAAGGCAGTAGAACAGAATTGTCTAAATACAGATTACAAATGTAATGTTACATTGGCAGAGATGAAGTAGCCTCTTTGCAGGTATATAAACTGCTTTGGCACAGTTATGTTATAAGCCATATGGTCCCATTAAGGACCAAGTGCACTACCTCTATTTCCATTAATGCTATTGTGGTTGAGTAGAAGCAAATCCCTGCAGGCAGGTTGCAGATCTAGTGGAAATGCCCATGGTTTTGGAAGGAGCTGTTTTAGCAGTTCATTATGGGTCTAATGTTTGGATGTCAACAGAATTTTGGGCCTTATAATCTGTGTGTTATGAGGAGTATAAACCGCTGACACAGTCCCAACAAAAACCAAGAAAAAAACTAAAAATCTTAATGTTACTGTCACCACCTATATATGCTGTATATATTATCCTGCATATATTGCCATATTTATATATACAGTATATCTACATAATGTACTCTACAAGCTTAATAGCATTTTCTTGCACTTTATTTAAAAATCATTGGGTGGCAGTATAAGCAAGCAGTGCCATCCACATGCACATTTTCATGAGAAATTTGCATTACAAATATTTGCCCTGGTGATTGGTAGGTAGTCTCAGTATGGTAGCAACAAATCAATGTTACATAATACTGCTCACTTAAAAGCTTTCCCCAGACCCAATGTATGGTTTATGACACCACTGAACTGACAGTAGTCAAGCCATTACAGAGTGTATGCCTCAGATTGTCTCTTGTAAACTATGTAAGATAGTTATAGATACGTTTATTACATGTGCAAACGATCTCATCTGTAAGCGGCAAGAGTCTGAATATAAACAGGAGATGTTGAAAATTTACTACAATTATGGTTCACTGGTTTTATCACTAACTGAAGTGCGTGTTTCAGATCTTGTGCTGGTATGAAGTGGTATGGGATGTTGTTTGTAATGACAGAGCCATCGGTTCTGTATGTTTTCATCTTCTCTTCCACTCAGGCACTGCTATCTGTGCGCACACTGCAGCACTGTGGAGGTGTGTGTTTGTGTATGTGTGAGTGTGGAACAGGTTTTTTGTGCCTGAGTGCGATGATGGTGACTCATCGCTGATTTGTGTGTAATATGAGCGTGTGAGAGAGAGACCAGCTAGCAGTATGTAATGAGCCATAACAAAGCAACACAAGCTTCACATAGGAATATTTCATTGCAACTTTACAAGGCAAATTTCACAAATATCAGCAGATTCTGCCTAAAGTTGTAATAATTTTACACCCTGATATTTAAAAACAAAAAAAAAATTGTGTTCTAGGAATGGGCTGAAGGGGAAAAAGGCAATAATTAGGAGGCTATTAAGCATCTAAATGGTGACTTAAAGATACTCCTGTAGATTGTGTAGGTACTTACAGACATGGTAAATGGAAAAAGAAGACCTTTCTAACATGTGTCACTTATTTTGTTTTTGATAGTAAACATGAATTATCTTCTTGTGTTGTTTTGTTGACCTTGTGGTTTGGTTGTTTTCCAGCTACTAGACCGTCCTTCCACAGGTCCACTTCCAGCAGAGACAAGGGCGTGCAGTTCACTGTAAGTTCCCAAGTAGAAAACCTGCTCTGCTTTTCAGTTTTGTTAAGAAATGTGGAAAGATATGGCCCATCTGTTCCTTAAAATAACATAATACTCTATTTAGTCCCTTTTTCCTTCTAAAGTAGCAGTGTGGTATGGGGCAGTACAGTATGAAGGTTTTAATGACATGAGTCCTAAAAGCTTTCTGACAGTTTTATGCTGATAGAAAAACAAAACAATTGAGTCAGTGACTGGAGTGAAATGCCAGTTTGTTTGCTTGTTTTTTTTTTTTTGTTGCCATGAGCTGCAATCAAAAAGACTAATAAGATTTTGCATTTTAGTAATTTTTACTAAAAGTTTTGCCAAACATTTTTGATTAAAAGTTGTCAAATGTGAGAATTTGCTGCTTAAATTATAGTAAATTGAATTTTTTTGGTGACAAACCAAGAAATTCATAGACATTACTTTTTCTGATGTCTTATAGACCAAACAGTTAACTGAGAAAATAATCTATAGAGCAAGTGATAATGACAGGAATCATTAGCTGCAGCCCTACAAGTGATGGTACAACTTAATAAAACATTTTAGAAGCAGTTATTTCCATTATTAGTTAAGCTGCTGATAAATTTCTTTATTTTAAATTCCTAAAGTCGGAGACATTTTCAAATGTTTGTCTGACCAACATTCCAAACCCTAACAATATTCAAGTTGAAATTATATAAAATTGGAGTAAAGCAGCAAATCCAGAAACTGGAACCAGAGAATGTTCGATGGTGTTGCTTTTGCTGGTATATTGATTTAATCAATTATAAAAAATAGTCAACCATTTTTTTTTCTGTTGCTGGGCTGATTGATGAGTACATTAATTCCTCTAGTAATAATTCTAGCTAGATTTTTTTTTTTTTAATTTTGTTTTGTTCTTCAGACATGAGTTTACAGCAGAGATTTACTTAGCTACTGTGTAATGCAAGCAGCCCAGGTGTTGCAGAAAAGGCTAAACTCAAATGATCGCTTAAATTTCTTGGCTGACTTAAACAGAGTGTCGGGGGGAAAAAAGCAGCAAATGATGAATCACTGCTGGCCACCGCTACAGTGAAGTCAAAGTGAAGTGAGGAAGAGGAATCACAGAGTGACTGGCTGTTTTTTCGCAGTCGGTGTTCTAATCAGCTTTGTGTTAATAAATGCAACTGGAGTCTCCTGAAGCCACCGATCTGTGATTAACAACTCTTTTATTACATTAAACACTATAGAGAGCCTTTTTATTTTAAATCGGGTTAGTTTTGAGTGTTTCGCTGCTGATGCTTTTTCCACTTCATTAATGTGGGCCAATATTTTTAAAATTATGATCAGATAGAAAAAAATCCAGAACTCTTTAATCTGATGTATAAAGTCAAAAATTTTAGTTTGTCTGTCCACTCATCTCAAATTAAGTTCTTCCCCCTTTGAGTGTATGCGATTAACCCTTTATAAAATGTTGTAATTAAAAGCGATTGTGTTATGTACAGAACTGATATTTTATAGCGCCACCATGTACTAAGGTACTTGTAGATCAGTAGTACAGTGGGCTGCCAGGTTGGGATACATCCCTTCAGCTTATGTGTATCCCTCTTTAATGCAACTTTTTAGCTATCTCTTGAATTCATTCCTGGAATCAGGAAGTAATAAACCTATACTCCCTCATTACTGGCCTACTAACATTTATAACTTATAATCACCTTTATTTGGCCAAGTATGTTACACACAAGGAATTTGTTTCCGGTACAGAACCGAGGCAGCCATCTTTGGTGCCAACTCAACCAATGGCTCTAACAATCGGGGGCAACTTGGGGGTTCAGTGTCTTGGCCAAGGACACTTCGACATGTGGACTGCAGGCACCGAGATTCAAACTTCCACCCCTAGGGTTGGGAGACGACTGCTCTACCCACTGAACCACAGTCGCTACCAAAGATGCAATTATAACTTGATGCTCATTAGAGGATAAGTGTTAACTGTTAATGGTGAAAACCCACTTGAAGTGAACAAAATAGGCGACATTACCTCTGCTCCATCTCACTCATTGCTGGATGTGTCAAGGCTCAGCAGGTAGCGACTAACTTGGTCGTCATCAAACACTGTGTACTTAAATAACCTGTACTTTCTCCCACAGTTTTCATAACACTGTACTTCATAGCAGTGTATTTGATTGTATCTACAGTTCTGGAGAGCAGCAACATAGAAAAGTTGGACAGTGATCTTCTCTGCAGACATGTCTTCACAGTGTTGCTTTTTAGTTGTCAGCAAGATACCACACAGGAATATTTGCCTTTTATTATGCAAATGAGGGCAAATTTCACTGTCCTGCATATAAAGATTTTTTTCTTTATGCACCACTGGTCAGTGCTGCATCAACTAGAAAAACTAAAGACCACTGTTGGGGAGTAGTGAACTACATGTAGTTCAACTAGTAGTTTAAATATTGTTTTATTTTACTGTTACTTCTGTAACACTTCTGTACTTCCTTTTTGTGGTACATTTTTGTGTCACTGAATATACAGTATGCAGTCAGAACAAATTCTCAGTGTTTCCTTTAATTGCCTCTTTTACAAGTGGACATGTGGCACTTCACTTTAGTCATCTTTTGGTCATTAACAACTCACTCATCATTAGTGTTTGCATCCATGTTTTTGGCTGCCTGTCTGATTACTACAGTCCAGCTCTTGTCTCGTTTTCTTCTGCAGGTTTCTCAGAGCGACAAGAACCAAAGCAGGGAGAGAGATCACAGGAGGACCAAAAGCAAAGAAAGGGAACGCAGCAGAGATGGGGCGCTCCTTTCGACTGGGAGCCAGATGGTGGTACGGGACAGAGCCATCCAACAGAAGAGGAGAGAGATAGACAAGGTAGTGGAGTGTCATTACACACACACACACACACACACACATCTTGGAAGAAGGGATAGTTACACAGTAAACAGATAGAGGAGTAGGGGAGATAAGAGAATCTGGGATCAGAGAGTGACAGAGGAAAGATCTTAGAAATGGCTGGGAGACAATGAGATGAGATTCATTTTCTGTAGTCCAATTATTAATTTTGAAATGCTGGGCCTCCAGCAACTTGAGTGTCATTAATGTGTTCACTTTGCCAAATCTGAAAAAGGAAGTCTTATTCATAAGCTGACATGATTGATGGTATTATTCTTTTATTATACTATTTGAGCAAAAACCCAGGTGAGGCTGTTTATCCCGGCTCATCTGCATCTCAGACGGCTGCAATGTGTGCTTTAATGCTGCGTTCAGTGTAGCAAACATCACATGAGGCTCTGCTCATTGGCTGTGATTTTGTGTGAGAGGTGTGTGTGTGTGTGTGTGTTTCCACCGACTTGATGGAAAAGATGGCCTCTAGCTTTTCATATCTCCATGGTTGCAGGATTATAGAGGCAGTCTGGCATCAGGTAGTTGATACACAATGCCCACAAACTCAGCAGAATGGCACACACAATACTTGCAGTCTGCATGTGAGCATTTCTGCCGATTGCTATTCTATTCAGTGGCAACTGGAAATGCAAGACCTCTCACCTAACTCATTTGCTGTGCCCTTTCCCTTTCCCTCCACTTTCTCGGCTGTCAGTTCCCCTGCTTCCTCTCACACTTCATTCCCTCACCTTGAGCTTTTGTCCTAAAACCACGGATGTGTGTGTCTTCCAGGTGTACTATCAGGAATGTGAAATGTTTGGGCTTGTGGTAAAGATGCTTATAGAAAAGGATCCATCCTTGGAACGTCCCATCCAGTCTTCATTGCAGGAGAACCTCAGGGACATCGGCAAGCGCTGTGTGGAGGCCATGGAGAAGTTTATTGAGGACTATGACTCCAGGGAGGTGTGACATTAGTCAAACACACATACACACATCTTCCTAGCACAGATCCTTCTCTTAAATGATTTGTGAATTTAATTTCATGTGCTCGAACAGTGCTGTTGTGGTTTTTATTTGTAATAAATTGTACATTCTTATCTGCTGCCCTGACAAAGTTCCCTTCTGTGCTAGGCCTCATGCTTAGCACTTAGCAACACTGGTGAAACTTTGATTCATTTGAACATTTGATGCCACTTCTAATTTTGAGACTGTAATGATAAAATAATACACTGGTTGATTTGATTTAAATGTCTTTCTGAAGAAGTCAGTAGCATATTTTGACATCCAGTGAACAACCTTAATTTATTATCACCTGCTTTTCAATTATGTCATTTTGTTGACAGCATATTAAACAACATGTGGTTGAAAATAGTTTCAGTGACTTATTTGTGAGTAGATGGGCAAAATAAAATTAAGCCATAGCAGATAATATTATGTGTCAGCAGGTGCCCATACACATTAAATGTTTATGTATTTGTAAAGTGAGGAACAGCTGTAGATTTCTTTTGATGTTTGATCTTAAGGGCCGACTAACATATCATGATGAATCATGCTTATCATGAGGAGCGGGGCTTATCATAGGAATATTGATAACAGCATGAAATTGCAGCACAAGTATGCCAACGTTATGTTTAAGTTTATTCAAGAACATACAGACTAACTGCTGTAAAAAATGTAAATACCCTACTGTGTTACATACCTTGGTAACAGTCCTTAAAGGGGGCACTGCATTGATTTTACAGAGTTCAGTTGACTCATGATAAGGATCCTACTCACCTTATTGAAAGAGTTGTATATACTGTACATTATGTTGTATTTGTCTATGACCAGATACCTGCAAAACTAATGATATTCCCATTGGTCTCAGCTGTATTTTGTGTTAAGAGCTTTATTACACCAGTAGGCAGCTTCTCTATTCCTCTTGTACATTGAATTTTGAGACAGACAGTAGACTACATCACGGTAGGAAAAGTACAGACAAAACTGCTCCTGAGCTGGTTTTAAATGTCCTAGAGTTGTGCGTGCCAGATGTCCTGGCTTACTGGGACACCTGATGGAAACGAGCCATCTTTAAGGAAATTTGTTTGACCTGTCCATGGGTGGGGCCCAGAATCTGATTGGCCACCTCTGCTAGAGGTTTGCTTGTAACTATTAATGAACAAAAAATGAATATAACAAATTGTTGACTTAAATAGAACTGATGTTTTCCTAGTGCATTTCAATTGAGATTGGTCAAATTAGTTTTATTTTATATCATGCATACAGCATATTTACATTGGCATGATTCACCTCAGTGGGGTGAACCACTGTGTAGCAGTGATGTCCCTGCCGAGTTTAGCTAAAGAAGGCACTGTGAGTGTCTCATTTTTACACAAAATAAACAGTTTGATTCTTAATATATGGTTTGTTATTTTATAGAACTGGGTTTTAATGTACTGTTTACATGTATTTCAAATGCACCACCCTTCACTGTGGCCACCCCATCAAAAATTTTCTAGATCCACCCCAGACCTGTGCTTTTCTTCCCATGACTAGTCAAAATGTCTGCTATGAAAAAGGTGTATAATGTATATAAGTAATAGTGATTTTCTAGAGTTGCTTTCTTTTGTCTTTGTAGCTTTCAGTGTGCACACAGCATACTCAGTCAGCATAAAAAGAGGATGGGGAACGGCTCTAGCACGCAGCGGTTAATGTGCAAGTCGAGCTGACCAATCAAACATCAGTCACATCCAACCAGAGATACAAATTCCTGGTTGTTCATTGAAGTACACTTTATTTTCAGTATGAGACAACAACAAATCAACATGCAAGTCTCCCTATCCCTACATCATGTTATACAAATAATGATTCTTTAGTTACAAAATATATAAATATTTAAGACTATATGTACATAACATTTACATGACTACATCCATTACTTTATTAAGTTTATTACTATATATACATTTAACAGGTATTATTCTTTAATATCATTATAATTATTTGCACTGCTGTTATTATTGTTAGCGTTATTATCAATATTATTAATCATCATCTATAAGTAACTCTCAAAAAACAAAGCATGTTGCAGAAGAGAAAACGGGACCATACCTGACGTTACTGTGCCTGAATGGTCAAGGAGCAGAGGCTGTCCGGCACTCTGTCCCTAGTAAAGCATGAGAGCTGGCTATGTAGTTCACAAGGTTCAACAGACTATTTGTACAAGGTGATAACGGGGCTAGCGAGCCAACACTATATTCCAGCAGCATTTGGATTCCACTGAGGTAAACAATAACATAGCTTGGAATCTAGCACGTAGCTTTCACTATCCCAACACGATTTCTGGTTTGTCCACATAGAATAGGTTTTACTGCCCAGGGTTTGGATCAGTGAGCTGCAACATGAACAGTCAGATCACTGTAGTTTGACCAGTGTTACTTCCCTTTTCAATCGGTAAAGGAATTGATCAGTCTCTCTGTAACATGGATACACACACAGACACACACATACATCATGTTATTTACCTTAACCACAGTATATTTAGTAGTCGTATTCATTAGTGCTTCCTGGTAGCATCAGTAGAGTTGGTTTCCATCATTGTAAACATTTCTGTTGTGTAAGCCAACTGAGCTTCCTCTCATGATTAGATCATTCTGTGTAGGTGTACACAAACATTAGCCATTGTAGAGTTGTGTAAGCTCACAAGCACAAAAAATAGGTCTTTTTGTCTCTTTAACCCCAACACACACACACGCAAATTCATACACAAACACTATTCACTCTCCCTGTCAACTCTCACTCTCACCTTCCCACTCCCTCTGTTCCTCCTCTATGTTGCTTTAACCATATCCTTACCTCTCTCTCTGTCATCTCACTTTCCTGCTTCTCCCTCACTATCTCTTTGCTCTATATCTAGGAAATGATGCAGTTTTTGCTCTTCCTCCTCTGGCGAGTGTGCAGCTGGCCATGAATTGGTCCATGCAGAGGTCCATGATGGCCACCCATGCCAGAGGGGCTGTAGCGATGGCGCAGCTCCTCGTTGTTGATGTAGCACAGCTGCACAGGCCGAGGGATTGGTTCGCCCAAGAAATAACCCTCATCTCCCTCTGACTCGGAGGAAGAAGAGCAGCTGGAGCACCAGAGGTCAGCAGCCTCCATGTACCCATCGCCCCAGTATGGCCCACCCAGCCCCACAGGTTGCCACCCAGCATTCTGCAGGGTGAGATCAGAAGTGGTACGGGGACAAGGTCGGTGGGACTGCTGTCTATACCCACCGGGCTCTAGACCAAACAACTCCCGAGCAGCATGACCAGAGGGGAAGCGATCATAATCCTCCTGAACACGGCGGTAGGGCAGCTCCACCATTTGAGTGGGCCGGTCCGCCACCAGGTGCAGGGCATTGTCAGAACGAGAACGGCGAGAGCGTTTGTGGTGACGACCACTGCGGTGCTGCCCATTACCATGGTTTCCACGATGGTGTTTGCGGTGTCTTGGTTGTGGTTGCTGTTGCTGTGATACAGGTTCCTGCCCACTTATGCGTCGGCGGGGCATTCGATCACTCATTGGAGCCATCCGCAGGTTTCCGCTGCTGCCCATCACCCCGGCACGACCTTTGTCATCAAAGCCCAGTGGCTGCTGGCCATCCCAGTATTGCAGTGGGTAACCAACTCTCAGTGGAGCGTACATGTTGTTGTTGTTGTATGGGCGAGAGGAGGACAGAGATTCTGTACTGTGGAACTGGACTGAGGAGCTGAGAGTGCCCATGTTGCTCTTTTCAGATACGTTCACACCCGAGTCCTTGCTCAGGTCTGGCATGGAGAACCTAGACAAATGCTCCTGACGCTTATTGACCCCATCCAGAGAGTTACCTGTTAAAACCATAAATTATGTCATACTTTCATATAATTTAATACTGTATCATATTGTAGCACAAAACATTGTATATATCACTATACCTGTAGCATTGGATATAGTGAGGGAGTCCATGGATCCACGAGGGGTCTGTTCTAGAGGAGTGAGGGGCTCATTGAAGCTCATGGCATTGATGGGATTTCTCCTGGTCAATGGGGGTCTTCCATCTCTTTGGAATCCATGCAAACTGATACTCCTCTTGTCAGAGAAGCCTTGGCTTTGGCTAGACATCTCATTGAAACTCATCTGGGTGCGTAGCTTGTTGGGCCTAAACTCATCCTGGCTGTGTTGCATCCAGTTTTCATTAAAGGAGTGCCCCCTCAGAGCAGCCATAGGGGTCCTCTTGGCATTACCTTGTTCCTTCCCCCAGGAATCAGGTCTCTTTCCTTGGTTGGCAGGATTCTGGCCTGGAGGATGAGCGTTTGCATTGGGATTGTAGCCCTGCCGAGGGTTACACTGACCAAGCAGATGTATAGGTCCAGGGGTAGGGGAAGGTTCCCGCTGGGGAGCCTCATATGCAGCAGGGGCGTAGGACTCATCCCGGCTCATCCACACTTGGTTAAGGCTGGGGGCACGGCTTGGAGTGCGGCTAGGTGTGCGGTTAGGTGTCCTGCTTGGAGTCTGGCTAGATGAGACGCTTAAACGGTCCATCTGAACAGACAGAGGATCAATTTCAGCAGACAAACGGTCAGGCATGGCGCTCCTTGTTCCCAATCTTGGTGCTATGGCGGGACTCACGGGAACGAGCGCTTTGGAAGGCTGAGTCAGAGGAGTCGGACTCATCTGGATCCTGATTGATTCAAACAGATTTGTGCAGTTATTTACCTGATAATATGTAAGGAAAAAATTGTGAATCTGGAGATGCCTAAGAACATGTCCTTTTAAAAATATAACAATGTATACAAGTGTAGTTATATTTTTGGTCACTTTACCTGCCCAGCACTGCAGGACCTTGAGCAGAAGATCTGCCCTTGCTTTGGCAGGAAGGGCCGGCCCAGCAGTGAGCGCTTGCAATGAGCACAGCAGAAACATTCCTCAGTTGCATGCCAGTGCTGCCCATCATACGTCATCTGGCCTTGGTCAACGCCTTCAGTAAAATTGTAAAAACATAATTTAGGCACATATTAGAAACAAGGTTATATGTAAATACACCAGGGGTCTAGCTTTAACTGCATACAAATGGTAATGTGATGGCAGCTATCTCTAATTTTACTGTAGAAATGATGTTCTACATTGTTTTCACTGCTAATGAACACAGCCTACAGTCTGACTGTAGCCATTAGCCAGTAAGTTAAGTATGTTTTTGTCAGATCTCTTAGTGCTGGAATGGAGTAAATATATATAAACAAAGTTTTTTTTTTCCTTTCCTGAAAGAAGAACATTTGTGATTTTATGCCCATACATTATCACTTGGTTTGTAAGACATTTCACCAGCCCTGCTCCCCAGCTAGGGGAAGTAATCATTTTCACTGTTGGTGTATGAGGTTACTTTTGTGTCTTTTTAATGCAATCCGAAATCAGGTTTTGACTCAAAAAAACTCTTTCACTCAAACATTTTTAACTCACAAAAATGTATTACTTGCAATCAAAACTTTCTGATTTGCAATCAAAATTTTTATGGTGAAAAAAAGATGCCTGCTTCTTTTTAATTACAGACTTGATTTTTGATTGCATTAAAAAGATACACAAGTACCTTCATATTACTGGAGCTTGGAGTGATAAAAAATCATCCACATCTCACTGTGCTGACTCCACATCTCCACAGCTGTGACACACAAGGCTCACAGAGCTGTTAACACCCACTAATCAATTGCTTTTAGAGGTTTTGTATATATGATTTTATGTGAATGTAACTAAAACATGACCATGTGTTTTGGTAACAGTTCATATATGTTAAACAGCAGCAATAACAGTGTTTAGGAAATATGTGCTGTACCTATGTGTTCTCCACATGCATCACAGTACTCAGCGTAAAGAGACTCAAAGCAGTTGCAGCAGTGTGGCCGACCATCCTTCATGATGTAGCGCTGGCCGCCAAGGGTGGTCTCGCACTCATAGCAGCAGAAGTGCTTCATGTGCCAGTGCCTGCCCTCTGCCTCGGTGCATTCATCAGCAAAGATTATCTGTGTGACCCAGACATTACAGTCATCAACAGGTATATTCTACAGTTATTCCATGAAGCTGAATGGGTTTATATAAAATGAGCAATGCATTTTAACTGGTTTTAAACTAGTTTATTCCAATTTGCAAAAATGATCTTATTATTCC